AGCGGACCTGGTCTAGGGCGGCGTGGACGTGACCCGGGGGGTGTCGCCTGCCCGAGACTTCCGGGCCGTGGGCCTGCCCGGCGGGGGGCGTCCTGAGCTCCCCTGTCCCTTCCCACGCGCTGGCCCACGCCGGCTACTGTGTGTTCGCTTCTGTGGCCTCCACTCTGGCTCCCGGCCGTCAATCTATTCCCGAGGTCCAGGCCGCAGTCGGCTCACTAACTCCTTGTGCCTTCAGCATTTGGGCCAGAATGGAGGGATACCGCACCAAGTTAGCCAAGCTAGGCGAAGCTGTTCTGAAACTGATGTGGGAGGGATGGGGAGACATCGCTCTAAATCTTTATTTTTAAGCGGGAAGATCATTGCTTCTCTCAGACCCGGAAATGGAGATTTTCAGAGGCAGATAACTTTCCAAGTGTCCAGCCTTGGCCGGACAGGAACTTCCTACTTGAATTGAAAGGCAAGTTCACAGTGAACTTTTTGCTTTTGTTCTCTGGGAAATTACATAAAACGCTGGAACAGTTCCAGCCCACGACTGTGTCAGGATGCCTGCCCGGGAGCTGCCCCGTGCGCGCTGGGCCCTTAATCTCTGTCCCAGCTGAATGGAGGTGGTCGGCTCACCAATGGCGCTTTGCAAGAAGCTCTGTCCCAGCCGGGGGGACAGTCATGCCTGTGAGCCTCCCGGCTTCGCATCTGCTGGCACGGAGTTGCTGGTGGCTTTACCATCCTGGGCCGTGGTGCTTAAGTCGGTTGCGTGGCTCCTGGGGCTGCTTGGAACTTTGCGTGCCTGGCAATTCGTACGGGATGCGCTGATACAGGCATCTGGGGGCTGCAGCAGAAGCAGCACTGTCAGAATCTGAGTACTCCAGGTGAAATGTAGTTTCTGTTCTCCAGGGCGCTAGGTAGTATGTACATGTTATCGACTGGAATAGGATCTTGCACACCCCACTCCCACCATGCAGGCCTCATTGTTGGTGTGGGACTCCTCAACCCTAGGGCCTATCCATTCATTATTTCGTCCATGTTCAAAGCTTACTTTCCCCCTCCACCCAAATCTGCACAGCACCCAACTTCATTCAAGCTGCAAAACAATTGCCATCACTTCATGGAGGTAGCTGCCTCTTCTACAGTAGCTGCTGCTCTTGCTCTTAAGTTGCTCTATTTGGCACTTAACCACTATCTGATATGATATGATCTGTCTCTTCCATAATCAGATCTCAGTATATATTTGTTAACTGTATAATTGAAATTGAAATTTGACTGTCTTCAGAAATATTCTGTACTAAACTCTCAACTTGGATTCATTCATTCATTCATTCATTCAACAAACATTTGAGTTACTGCTTGGTATCAGATCCTGGCTAGGTGTTCAGATATGTCAGTGCACATAATAGACAATGATTTCTTTTCTTCTGGAGCTTACGTTCTAGCCAAGAATGATTAACAATAAACATTTATTTAATGCTAGAAAATTATGAGTGCTATGAAAAAAGAGAGCAGAGAAAGGGGACTGGGAGTGTACATATGGGTTGCAGTTTTAACAGCATGGTTACTATGGGTTTGGAGGGTAAACTGAAGGTGATATTTATGGCAGAGAACTGGTTTTTAAAATTAATTGTCTTTCTGGGAGAAAATGGCCCTTGCCATTCTCTACTAAGTCTTTCATGGGGACTCATACTATGACCATTAAAGCAAGTGTAATCATCTTTTATAATATAAAGGTAAAACAAATGTTTTTCCAAATTGAGTTCAAGTTATTCAAGGTTTACAGTTTAACTCAGCACATCAAGTTAAGAGACTGGGCTCTTAAATGGAAGAGACTAGCCAAAGGTATACTACTGATGTGTTGAAAAAATTTGTATGTTTTCTTTACATTTTACTACACTTTGCAATTGCTTCTTAATGTCCGTCTGTGTATGACTTGTGACGTTGTTTTCTAGCATGGTCATTGCTTTTCTTTATTTGAAACTGTGTTAAAGATTCACTTGGTATTATGTCAGGCTTTAAGGTATTAAATTATTGCTCTTAGAGACTTCTGAATGAACCACATAGGCCTAACCAAATTTCAGTCCATAATGACATGTCATATTAGCAGACACACTGATTAATAGTGATTGCTTTACCAACAATAATGTGTAGAGACTGCCTTGTATATGCTTTATACAGGGAAGTGAATTATTTGACCTGTTCTTTGAGAGGATTCAGAATGTATATATTACCATGTTCAATCATCGAAAGATTGTCTGCTTGTCCAATAGTATTCAACCGTGTAGTTATTAAGAGTGTAGGGAAAAATCTTGAAATAGAGTATGTAAGAATTAGAAGTTATCTGTCCTAAAGAGGGATAATTTGGAAATAAATTATTGAACTATACACACTTAGGAAAACAACCAAAATAAGAAATGTCATGCAAAAGATTATCTTAGTTGATGTATATTTAGTTTAGAAAATTACTCTTGCCAAAACTTGAAACATTGGCCTTTGAGCATCTAATTTTGACCCTCTAAAGCAGTGGTTCTCAACCTTCCTAAGGCCTCGACCCTTTAATACAGTTCCTCATGTTGTGGTGATCCCCAACCATAAAATTATTTTTATTGCTACTTCATAACTGTAATTTTGCTACTGTTGTGAATCGTAATGTAAATATCTGATATGCAGGATGTATTTTCATTGTTACAAATTGAACATAAAGCATAGTGATTAGTCACAAAAACAATATGTGATGATATATGTGTTTTTCGATGGTCTTAGGCCACCCCTGTGAAAGGGTCGTTCGACCCCCAAAGGGGTCGCGACCCACAGGTTGAGAACCGCTGCTCTAGAGTTTCTCTAGACCATTGTTTCCCAAATTACAAGACATGACTTATTAATGATCTTGAAATTATTTTAGTGGGCTGAGTATGTTTTAAAAAAATGAAGTAGAGAAAAGATAAAACAGGGTAGAATAGAATAAAATAGAAAAAATACAAAAGAAGATATAAGCATCTCATGTAGTAAGGGTAAGATTTTATGAAACTTTTGTTTCAACTACATATATGTATCAAAAAGATTGAAAGGCAGTATTGTTGATTGCTCTCTAAAGTTATTATATCTGTTTACCTTCCAGCAGTTGAAGTGTCTTTTGGTCTGCATCCTCACGAACACTAAGTATTTTTCCTCTCTAATTTTGCAGATCTGATGGATGAGATCTATCTCATTGTGATTGCATTTCCATCTTAAATTCCATGGTGAATTTGAGCATGTTTTTATATGTTTATTAATTTCTTCTGGGAATTGCTTGTATCCTTTGCCCATTTCTAAATTGTCTTTTTCTTACTGATTGTGAAATGTTCTTTATATATTCTGGGTGCTCACCCTTTGTCAGCTATCAGTTACATGTGTTGAAAATATCTTTTCCTGTTCCTTATCATGTTTTTCCTTTTGTTTATTTTGTCATTTATTATGCCAAAATTTTAAGCTTTAATGTAGTAAAATTCATTGGTCTTTTCTTTGTGGTTTATGCTTTTCTTTTGTGTCTTATTTAAGAATTCTTTCCCTGCCCTGAAATCATAAAGATATTTTTTATACTTTGTTCCAAAAATTTGAAAGTTTTGCTTTTTTCACATTCCAGATGATTTCCTTTGAATTTTCTATGTTGAAATACTGTAGATTAAACTTTTTTAGTATGTATTTTTTCTTGTTACATTGTCTGGATTGTTGAAGCCTGCTCCCAAAACTTATAAAGTATAATATCTAGAAGCTATATTTTACAATATTAATTTTTTTATAATTGAGTACCTCTACTGCTGACTTTCAAATAATAGAGCTAATATAATTTTTAAATTGCATTTTTCTCAGGTAAATAATGACTTTATTAAAGTTGCAAGGTGGTATATTCTTTTCCTTCTCTGTTTCTTCTATATGTTTGTATCACTTTGGAATGTTTTTTAAAAAGGCATTTTTCACAATGCTAGAAGATTCAATATGTTTTCACAGTACTGTAAAATAATAATCTTGAATCATTTTTGTATATTGGATACTAAGTATATTGGGAATTTTGATCAACAAAAATGAAATTATGTTAATTGAATTCAACTGAATGTTTTTATTTGAATATGGTAATTTTCTTATGCCTAGATGCAATTATGTCTTATCAAATAAATAGAATGGCTCATTTTTCATCGTTCTAATTTTTAATGTGTTACTATTCTTGAAATTTCTAAAAGACACTGAAAAAAAGCTATTTATTTTCCTCTTTAAAAAAACCAACATATACAGTTGTTAAAATAAATCTCTATCTACAATGGTACAGGGATGAGGTGGAAAAGACAACAAACAAACAAACAAAAACCTGGATATGGTATTTTGTGATTTGGCATATTAGCAAGATTTCTCTTCTACCAGGAAAAAAAGGTGGTCTAAAGTTTAACAATGAGGGCAGTCACATCTCTACTTTGGTCCTCTTTCTATATTTCAATTTTTTGCCTTTGAATCCTCCTCCTCTCCTTTCTCTTCTCTTTCTCTTTATTCTCATCCCTCTCCTCTTTTCTAATTTTTATTCAATAAAGTTGGGGCAGATATGGAAAAAGTATTTCCGGTTAGGATGAGGCAAAAATAGAAGAATTTCTGATATAGTTAGTATCCAATATTCAAAAAGCTGTATTCAATGAATATATTGCATTCTACTTTGTGGTGGTTATAGCAGTAAAAGAGTTATGGTGCCTTCGCTTAAAG